ACGCTTGGGCGTTGTCGAAACGACATTGTCCCTCAGATGGGTTTCCCGTCTGTTTCCGGTTCCGAGACGGGACTGCACGGGCCTGCGGTTCAATCTGGACTTGTCCCATCTGAACCCCTGGGTTCATTGCCCCTCCTTTCGGATGACTACGCTGTCTCGGGTTCGGCTCCTCTTGGAGCCGGGTGCTTGGATGGTGTCCCTGGACCTCCGGGACGCTTATTGGCATGTCCCGCTTCATACACGGTGCATGGACTGGCTCGGTTTTGTTGTTGGGCGTCTGAGTTACCGCTTTCGTTGTCTCCCATTCGGGTTGAACCTGGCACCTCGCATGTTCACGTGCCTTACACGGGTTGTGGTGGCTCGTTTGCGTCTCCTAGGTGTTCGGGTGTTGGCCTACCTCAGCGACTGGCTGGTTTGGGCTCCCAGCCGGTCAGCTTGCTTGCTAGCCAGGGATTTGGTTCTTTCCCAGCTCGCCGGGTTCAGGTTCTTGGTGAACTGGAGGAAGTCCCATCTGGTTCCCTCTCAGGTTCGGACTTGGCTGGGTCTCGTTTGAGACTCTCGAACCGCCTCCTTGTCTCTCCCTCCGGAGTCTCTCCTGCAGCTGCGGTCCCGTCTTCGTCTGTTTCTGGTGGGCCCTCAGGTCACCCGGCGGTTGCTCGAGGGGCTGTGCAGGAGCCTGAACTTCGCGATGGTGGTTTACCCGCCGGGTCGGGTTTGGCTTCGTCAGCTGTTCTGGTTCTTTCGGGGGTTCCCCCTTCCACCTCTCTCGCGATCGCAGAGTTCGACCCCCGGGGGCCTTGCTTCGGTTGCGTTGCAAGGCCCTTGCGTCGGTTTTCACCGGCTTCCTCTTTGGGTTTTTCGGGGTTCAGTGCCTTGGCTCCTACCCGAGCCCTCGCTCGATGTGTACACGGATGCGTCGTCTCTCGGCTGGGGTTTTGTGACCAGTGCTCACCAGACCGGCCAAGGGTGTTGGGATCCGTCCTTCCGTCGAGCTCACAGCATGGTGCGGGGGTTCGCAGCAGTGTGGTTCGCTCTTGGGAGGATTCGGGTGGCCCACGGATCGACGATTCGGCTCCATTCGGACTGCTCTCCGGTGGTTTATTGCTTGAACCGCGGGGGTTCGATGCGGTCCTTGTCTCTTTGGGGTTGGTCGCTTCTGGTGACTCGTATGCTGAGTTCTCGGGGTTTGGCTCTCCTGGCGGTTCACGTACAGGGAGTGTCCAACGTCTTGGCTGACCCCCTGTCTTGCTTCGTTCCCCTCTCCACGGAGTGGACGGTTGACGACGAGTCCTTCCATTGTCTTTGCCAGACATTCGGGCGCCCCGAGGTGGACCTCTTCGCGTCGGTGTGGTCGCGGCGTCTTCCCGTGTATGCGGCGCCCTTCCCCGATCGCGAGGCCGTCGGAGTCGATGCCTTTCGGCTAGACTGGTCGAGGTGGGGGGTCCTGTACCTCTTTCCCCCAGTACAGCTGTTGCTCCAGGTCCTGACTCGCTTAGAGTCAGGTCCAGGGGAGAGTTGTCCTTCTGGCCCCTTGGTGGCCGGCCCAGCCTTGGTTTCAGGCGCTGGTTGCTCGGTGTCCGAATCCAAGGGTTTTCCCACGGCTCCGCCTCTTTCAGCAGATCGGGCTGGTATGTCACGTGGCTGGTTCGATCTTCTCGAGTCTTCGCGTATGGGTTTTATGACTTGAGTGTATCATCATCTCTATGGTGATCAGGTGGCCTCCTTGTTGGTGTCCCACCTGAGGGCTTCTTCTCTGCGGCAGTATGAAGTTTCCTGGCGGTCCTTCTGTTTCTTTTTGCGTCTTCGTCGTGTTAGTTCGTTGTCTGTTAGGGTGGTCTTGTCCTTCCTCTCGTGGTTGTTTCAGGACCGGTATCTTATGCCTGACATTGTCGCCGCGTATCATGCGGCGCTGGCGGAGCCGCTTCAGCTTGCCTTCGGTATCGATGTTACGTCTGCGCTGTTTTGCAAGCTGTCTCGTGCATTGTTTCACCTCCGGCCTGCTCATGCACCGCCTGAGCCGTCCTGGTCTTTGGACAGAGTGCTCGCTTTCCTTTCGTCTCCTCGTTTCGTTGTGGCCCCTTCGGTCCAGGATTGTTTCTCCAAGGCTCTTTTCTTGTTGGCTTTGGCCTTTAAGGGTCGGGTAGGGGAGCTTCATACTCTCCTCCGGCGCAGGGGTTTCTACTCTTTTGGTCGTGGAGATTGTTTTGTTCGCTTGCAGCCATCTCCTTTTCTGGCGAAGAATGAGACTGCTGCGTTCCGGAGGGGTCTGTGGGTGGTTGATGCTTGGTTGGTCAGGCCGGGGGTGCATCATGTTTTGTGTCCGGTTGCGGCGCTTCACCTTTATTTGCGCGCCATGGCTTCTGTGTCTGGGGACGCGCTGTGGGTTGATCCTGTTTCCCTTCTTCCCTGTTCGCGGGTTCAGGTCTCCCAGGTCGTCTGCAGGGTTATTAAGTCCAGCCAGCCTGTGGTCTATCCCCGTGCCCATGACGTTCGTAAGTTCGCGGCTCTTGCTGCCGTCTTTGGGAATATGTCTTGGTCTGATATTCGGGCGCGGGGATTTTGGCAGTCGAACAGGGTCCTGGCTGCTCGTTACCTTGTGAAGGTCCCTGGGCCCCGTCGGGCCTGTGTTGCTTTGGGTCGGCGATTGCAGCCAGTTGTCTCGGCTTCGAGTTGAGGAGTGAGCGACGACCGCCTCCCGGGTAAGTCCCTCTTTTTTCCGTCTGTGGGTAGTTAGCTCCAGGGAGCCGACGGGGCTCCCCCCAGAAAACCAGCGTTGAATGTAATGAAACGCCATTTTCTTGGTGAGTCCTGGAGTCTCCCCGGCATCCCTCCCTCCCTCTGGTCGGCGTTTTTTTCGCGTTTTTGATATCCAGCCTCAAGAACTGAGGTGTGGGTAGCCGGCGTGGAGGGTCTGGGGCTTCCCCTTCCCCCGTGTGATGTCACACTAGTTTGCTTGTTTTCTGTTGGGGGAGTTCTATCCACTAGTTCGGCTTTTGGTAGCAATTTTAACCAGAATAGGGGTTTGTTTTGAGGCGCTTACCTTTCTGGGTGCCTGTTCCGGTTGATGGCAGACAGAATGCTTCCAACCACACGGGGGCTTCTATAGGCCATTGCTCCCCCTTGCCTCTCTGAGGGGGCCCGGTTCTGGCCGTGGTCCCCGGTAGGCCTAAGAACTCCATACATATGACTGATGCCAAAGTCTGACATTAGCATATCAGCCTGGTAAAGCTCCGGGGAGCCTCCGGGACTCACCCAGAAAATGGCGTTTCATTACATTCAACGCTGGTTTTTTTGTTAAACGATTTGACGAGTCATATTCCGGGGAATATAGGATAAAGGATTTGCCCGAAACACTACGCATGCTAGTGGCTGTACAAGAATGTAACATCTCTTGTGGGGAAAAAAAAATTGCCCTTAATGCCTAAAATGCTGCAGGTAGTTAGTGGCTTTATAATGTAAATACTAGAATTACTAAGCAATCACTATAATTAAATTCTCTTCATTTTTATGTAAGTGTACTGTATAAATAATAATAATAAGTTATTAATAATTATAATTATATTATTATGAATATTATTATTATTATACATTATTTAGCATTGTTGTTTGAGCAATTTCATATTAAAATATTCACTGCTTTTGGAACTTGCATACTGTCTATCTATTTTATTTTATTTTTAATTTTATTTTTATTTTTATATTCAATTGTTACATTCTTGTACAGCCACTAGCACGCATAGTGTTTCAGGCAAGTCCTTAATCCTAATGTGCCTTAGAATATGACCCACCAAAGTGTTTAGCAAATAGGTACCCACTCACTGCTGGGGAGTAAGAGGCTACAGTTAAGTATTGGCGCCCAGTCAATTCTTCCCGGCCAGGATACGAACTCAGGCCAAAGTGCTCGTGAAGCTCCGAGCGAGTGTTTTACCACTGAGCCACGGGGACTGCCAGTAGATACCAGTAGATCTGGTTTTTTTATTCCAGTGCAATAAAAAATAAAGCTTTCTTTTAGTAGAACTCTTTGATACTGAAAGAACAGAATATTGGGTGGGAGGGGGGTAACATTTTCTATTACCTGATGCTCTGTTCACCTAGCAGTAAGTAGGTACCTGTGAGTTAGGCAACAGTTGTGGGGGTTGCATCTTGGGGAAGGTCAGTTGTTGAGCTAGTGGCCAGCTATGGGAAACCAACCCATAAATTATTGAATGGCTGTAGAAAATCAAAGCATTCATGTGTTATTGGAAACTAAGATTCGTATCATTATCACTTTTATATAGTACAGTATAGTTTAAAGTTGTAGTATGCTTATTATCTCTTGCATTCAGGGGAGTTGTCCTGCTGTATTATGCAGTAGATCACTTAAGGATAAGTGCCTGTGAACCAGTAGTTTGTTTAGGGAGTAATATCTGTGAAACAGTAGTTCATTTAGGGAGAAACAGCTGTGAATTGGTCCACTACGGGCTCACCATAGCCCATGCTACTTGGAACTTTTTGTTCCATGTAGCGAATCTTAACAACAACAGCTGTGAATCAGTTGTTCATTTAGGGAGAAACAGCTGTGAATCTGTTGTTCATTTAGGGAGAAATGTCTGTGAATCAGTTGTTCATTTAGGGAGAAATGTTTGTGAATCAGTTGTTCATTTAGGGAGAAATGTCTGAATCAGTTGTTCATTTAGGGAGAAACGTTTGTGAATCAGTAGATCATTTAGGGAGAAATATTTGTGAATCAGTTGTTCATTTCATTGTGTTCTTTGCTTTTAAGTACATCATCTCATTTAGATCCTAAACAAAAATAATATTTACTCTATACATATAAATCACCAAAATACAGTTGACTCTTGTGACATGTTCCTTAGTGATTTACTGTTTATATTTACTGAAAATATTTAGATATGTACTGAGCTTTTAAATTGCTTAATTTTTGTTTGAATTCTTTTTATGACAATTCTGTGTTGCATATTTCTTTCTTAAGATCATGTGCTTACCTGAAAGTGTTTCAGACTGTGAAGAGAAAATCAAATGTGCTGAAAATACAAAAACGATACACACCAACTGGCTGAAGACGGCAGAAGAGGTGCTGGCAGTGGAATGTGGCGACCAAGTCGATATTGTAGAAGAAATCACCGAGGAGGAGTATCAGAAGAGTCGAGGTATGTTGCTTACCTATCAATGATAACGGGGAAGTGAAATCTAGCTTCATGCCTCTCCTCCTAGCAGTTTATTCCTGCATTCTCTTAGAACAATAAATGTATTAATCATAATAATAATATATTATTCATAAATGTCCATACATAAGAACTTAATACAGTGGTGTATTTGAAGCTGCAGGGGTTGCATATTAAATTAAACTATTAATATGCAAAGTGTTTCAGGCATAACTTTGAAGAATATGGTTACATTTGTTTGTTTAATTGGGTAAACATTATCAAGTGGGAAGAAAGAAAACATATGTGAGATGTGCAAGAAATTTAATAACTGGTATACAATATGCAGGTGACAGTGATGACAGAAATAGATGTCTACATTATAGGACCTGCAGTTTTAGCAACAGTACAGATAGTGTGTTTAGCATTATTAATGTTAATTAGTATTACAGTAATTAATGTGAGGCCTCTACACCCAGGAGGGGTTACCTTGCAGTGATTCTGGGAGTCAAGGTTCCCACAGCTAGGTCTCTGACCAGGCCTCCTGGTTGTTGGCCTGGTCAACCAGGCTGTTTCAACGTGCCTGCTCGCAGCATGACATACGAATCACAGCCTGGTTGATCAGGTATCCTTTGGAGCTGTTTATCAAATTATCTCTTAAACACTGCGAGGGGTAAGCCAGTTAAGCCCCTAATGTGTAGTGAAAGCGTGGACATTTATATACAGTGGCACCTCGATTAACGAGTGGCTCTATCTACGAGCATTTCGAGTAACGAGCAAGCCACTCGCAGCAAATTTGTCTCTATTGACAAGCTTCACCTCTATTAACGAGCAAAACCACATGGTACTTCCTAGCGTCTAGCGGGTTTTCGCAAATTCTCGGACGCCTCCAACGCCAGAGTTGTTGTATCACACACAACAAGCATCCCTCTGCATTTATTTGCGTTTCTTCTTTGGGTTTTTGTGACTACAATTTGTAACGCACGATGTCGCCAAAGAAGCTGCTTGCTAAAGATAGTGTTGTCAAGAGGAAGAAAGACACAATTACTGTGGATTTGAAGAAGGAAATTATAGCAAAGCATGAGCATGGTGTCTGTGTGACTGATCTCACAAGGGAGTATGGCAGGCATCATCAACAATTTGAACCATTAGTAAGGGGATGAGGAGGTAAGGGAGTTTAAATTTATTTCCTGTATTTTAAATGGAGAAATTTGTTTTTTAAGACAAGTTTTCCACATAACGAGCTCAGTGCCGGAATGGATTAAACTCGTTAATCGAGGTGCCACTGTATAGTGTAATAGAAATGGGCTCACCATACATATGAGGTGTAGTGTCTACTACACACACACGTAATGGTGTAGTGGCCATGTGCCCACTACACATGTAATGGCCATGTGGCCACTACGCATATGTAACTATGTAATTGTAATTACAAGATGAGAGCCACGCTTGTGGTGTCCCATCTTCCCAGCACTCTTTGTTGTATAACGTTTTGAAACTACTGACGGTTTTGGCCTCCACCACCACCACCTCATTTAACTTGTTCCAACTGTCTACCACTCTGCAAACCAAAACGTTCTAATATTTTTTCGGCACTTTTGTTTCCTAAGCTTGAATCCCTGTCCTCTTGTTCTTGAAGTTGGTGGTTTCAGGAATTCCTCTTTGTCAATTTGGTTGATTCCTGTTAGTATTTTGTAAGTGATTATATTTTCTGGGGGGGAGCCCCTTCGGCTCCCCGGAGCTTTTACCAGGCTAATATGCTAATGTCAGACTTTGGCATCAGTCATGTGTATGGAGTTCTAGGGCCTACTGGGGACCACAGCCAGAACCTGGCCCCCTCAGAGAGGCAAGGGGAGCAATGGCCTATAGAAACCCTCGTGTGGTTGGAAGCATTCTATTTCTGCCATCGACCGGGTCAAGCATCCAGAAAGGTAAGCATTCCAAAACAAACCCCTATTCTGGTTAAAATTGCTACCTAAAGCCGAACTAGTGGATAGAACTCCCCAACAGAAAAACGAGCAAACTACTATGACGTCACATGTCACCGCGCCGCTGTCTGTGCAGCTCCCCCCTCCCTGGGAGGGGGAAGGGGGAGCCCCAGACCTCCCACGCCGGCTATCCACCCAGCAGTTCTTCGGCTGATGCTGTAGGCACCGGTTATGTGCTCCGGCTCCAGTGGTTGTTTCAGCACTGTACCTAGAGTGTGGTGTCTGTCTTCTAGGTGGTGCGTGAGCCGGGAGCGATTCTTCAGTACTCGGGCTGCATGCGCCTAGGGTTCCCTTCCCTAGGTGCCCTGTAAGTACTGCCCTTGGGGCTTGGGGCCACCTTCCACAAGTTCCTTGGGTCCTGCCCCTGCTTGGCCGTTTACTGCTTGGTTTTCGGCCGCTCTTTGTGTGCTCGGGTGTTCTGTCTCCCTTGTTCGCCTTAGGGTAAGGGGCAGTTTTGCACTGGTGGGGCGCAGGGTACTGTGCAGCTTGTCTTTACCAATCATAGCGGCCGGCTCTGTTCCGCTTGGGTACGCTGTCCTCTTGCGGGGTTTTCTTTTTCTTTTTGTTTATCTACCTGGTGGGGGGGGGGGGGTCTGCCTTCGTTCTTGCCCCTTGTGTCCCTTGTGTTCTGAGTATTTTCTGGTGGTACCCCCTGCTAGGTCCCCGTGAGTGTACACGTCCCAGGGGTTCAGCTCTTAGAAAGTTGTTTGGTAGCTTTGGGCGCTGGTTAGCAGTACCCTGCCTGGGATTACCTGAGCGCGAGTCCTCTTATAGTAAACACTCGGGACCCTGGGAAACCCCTGGGGGCGCGCAGGTCTGATGGATGTGACCCCAGAGTCCCGTCTCGCTTTCAGCGAGTTTAAGGGTTGCTCACCCCTTGTCTCTGGGTGACTCTCTGTTTTGCCTCCGCCTGCTGCCTATGGGGTCGGTGACACCTTCGACCCGGAGTCCTGCGAGTGTTGTTGCTCGTTGTGGCTCGATTACCCAGTTGTGCTGACTGAGCGGGTGTGGGCAGCAGGGGCGTTGCACTTTGAGCCTTGGTGGTGGCAACCCTCTCGTTGTTTGCTCCCCGGGAGCCTTGGGGCTGCCCCGTTTTGGTTATTGTGGGGGTGTTGGTTGCTTCAGTTCCTTCCACGCCCCTTTGTCTTTCCCCTGGATCACCCTTCCTGCCTGCATCCGGTTCCTTACCGTCTGTAGGATCGGGGCGGGGTTTGATGGTGTTGAGACTCGGGCAGTCTCGGGGACTTCCCCTTCCGGGGTAGTGGTGGGGGCATTTGAGCCTGTTCCTCCAGCCGTGTTGTAAGAGTCTGCCAGTGGGCTCCCTTCCTTAGTGTTTTTGCGGAAAGGAAATGGAGTGCAGTGGTTTTCTGGTACGGCCGGGGCTTTGGGGGGGACGGCCTTGGCCCCGGGGCCTGTCGTGTAGGTTCCTGGGACTGGGGAGGGGCTAACTTGGGGGGCCTTGGCCCTGTAGGACCCCGTGGGGATTTTTCTCCCCCTCTAGGTGGGGCTTGTGGTTACGGGGAGTGGGGTCTTTCCTCCCCACTCGCCGTACGTGTTGTTGGGCGTCGGCCTCTCCCCGGGCTCGGTTCCTTGGCCTTTGAGTCGGTTGGTTCCGTCCTGTGGGTGGATGCTTCCTTCCCCCCTTTTTGGGACGGTGTCTTCGTTATGTTTCCCCGTTCTTGGGGTTCTACGTGACTTCTGGTCTCGGGTGCGCCAGCGCCTTTGTGTGCCTTCGGGACTAGTGTTGGCTTCTGTGTTCTCGAGGGTTCGGGAAGATTTTCGCTACTTCCCGTATTATTGGAACGTCTGTCAGCTCCTCGTTCGGATCGCCGTTTTGGGCTACTTGTAGCCCGGTTGGGCTGCTTGTGGCCCGGTTGGGCTACTTGTTGCTCGATTGGGCTACTTGTTGCCCGGTTGGGCTACTTGTGGCCCAGTTGGGCTGCTCGTGGCCCGGTTGGGTTCCCTTTTGGGCTCTGTCTTCGCTTCGTTGGCCAGTTTTGTTGTTCCTGCTTCCTCTTTTGGCTACTTTTCTAGTGCAGTAGTCCTGGTTGGCGCCTTCCCGCAGAGCGGGTTGTGGGGTTCGGCCAGCGTGTCATGCGCATGCGCCGTGGAGTTTGTTTTGGTCTGGGCGGTGTGTTTCAGTGCTGGTGTTTTGCGCCCTTTTTTCTCAGGTGCTTCGCCTCTCGCTCTTCTCCCTTGCTGCGGTATGTGCCCCTTCGCTTCGGGGGTGTCCTGGTTTCCAGCTGTGGGGCGGACGCCGAGGTTTTTCCTGTGTCATGGGTGTGGGCCGCCTCCTTTGTCTCTACCTTGCTCTCCTGCATGTCCGGCTCTGGCTTCTTCACCTGGCGGTGCTCCCAGGATCTTCTGGGCACTGTTGGGTTGTGTCACGTTCGTGCCTCCGTTCGACAGGTGAGTTTCTGCGGTCTGGTGTCTTTTGGCCGGGCGCTGGATGCGGAGATGGTTATATACCTGTCTTTCTTTAGGTATATTTCTGTACGACTGAGACCGTTCGCACACCAGTGACTGTCCCTTTTTTCAACCCTTCCAGTCCCCCTCATGTGCATGTCCAACCCATGCTTGAGTCATTCAGGGGACCCACCTTTTTTCGTGTTATGAGGTGTATGGGTTGTGGTGCTGGTTATGTTCTCACCTGGTAGGGCTCTCCTGGTTGTGCTTGCAGGGTTGAGCTCTGGCTCTTGGGTCCCGCCTGTCTGGATGAACTTGCAGGATAGTACCAGTGGAGTGCAGTGGTTGCTATAGGCACAATCGAGGAACACTGTATAACCATCAGAGGTCTGCGGTTGTTACACGACCTACTTGCGAGCATACGCCATATTGCCGGTACGTCCGAGGACTTCCAGGGCACACTAGCCTGTTTTCGAATAGAAGTTCCGGCCCATCCTGGTTGTGGGGGGTATGTGGGCCTGCGGGCCGCTCCAAGCAGCTGCCTGGTGGCCGGTCTAGCCTAGCCTCGGGCCGGGCTTGGGGTGTAATGAGCTCCCAGAACCCCATCCAGCAGGTATCGAGCGGGGTTCTCCGCCGTCGGTCGCCTGGTGTGCAGGTTCCTGGGCCTGCTGGGTTCTGTCGTGTCTCCGTTGGCCCTGTCTGGGGTCTGCCTGCTCCGTTCTCTGCCTTTGCAGAAGCGGGTTGCTATTTACATGTTGCATGTTGCGATGGTGCCTGTTGCTGCTGCACGTGTGCATTGGTAACATGTTTCGCGGTGGCGTGTCCCTGTTCCTGTGTCCGGTGGTGGTGTGGCACTTTGCTGCTGTTTTGTGCCTAGGGTTTGCATATGGGGGTTTGCTTGTTGTTTTTCGTGGTCTTCGGGTTCCGGGCTTGGCCCTTTCATGTGCTTGGGGTTTCTGTCCCTGCCTGATTGTCCACCCCTGGTTTTTTCCTGGGGTTTGTGCTTCTGCTCTTTCGTCCTGCCTCTCCCCAGTCGTTTTCCTGGCATCTCCTTTGGTCGGTTTTGCCTGCACTTGCTGCTGGGGGGGGGGGTCGGTTTCCACCGCTTCCTTTCCTTGTGCGTTCCCTTGTTTCCTCCTCTGCCGCAGGGGTGTTCTGCGTGCGTTCCTTGGCTTCTTGGGCGTTCTTTCAGCCTGTGTCCTGTGGTGTGCTTCTTTGTCTTGGTCTGTTGCATTTGCTCGTACCCCTTGGTTTCGGGTACTGTTTCTGGCGGTAACCCTTCCGCCTTCTTCGTTTTCCTGGCTTACCCTGCCAGTTGGTTTTTCGTGGTCTTGCAATGTCTCGCATCGGACCCGTCGTTTCTGAACTCCTGGCGGGCTTGCTTGCTTGTTTTGGGGAGTTTTTCTGTTCAGCAGATGTTCCATCTCATTGTGCCGCCTGGGTTTTGGTGGTCGCGCCCGAGATCTTCCCGCAGCTCCGCCTTTTCCTGGGCTCAGAGGGGCCTTGTCGGGGCTGCTTACGTTCTGCCTCGTGGTCTGGCCTCCGGTTGGTGGTCGGGTGGCTTCGTGGTAGGTGTCCCACCTGCGTACTTCTCTTGGCGGCAGTATGGGGTATTTTGGCGGTCCTTCCTTTTCCTGTCCCTTCTTCAGTGATTGCACTTGTTAGCGTCGGCTTGGTTTTCTAGTGGGGGTTGGGAACCGTCGTCTTGCCACATCCTGTCGCCTCTTTTCGTGCGGCGCTGGCGGAGCCGTTTTGGTTTGCTTTCGGTCTTGGTGTTTCTTCTGCACTGTTAGTAAGCTGTCTCGTGCGTTGTTTCACCTCCGGCCTGTTCATGCACTGCTTGCACCGTCCTGGTCTCTGGTCAGCCTGCTCTGTCTTCTCCTCGGTTGATAGTGCCCCTTTGGTTCTGGTTTGTTTTTTGTCGGCTCTTTTTCCTGTTGGCATTTGCCTCTGGGGGTCGGGTCGCTGAGTTTTTCTTGCTCCTTCAGTTTTAGCGTTTATGTTGTTCGGGGGGCAGCAGTCTCCATCTTTTCTGGCGCGGGGTGGGGCTGCTGCGTTCTGGAGGGGTCCTTGGTTGGTCGGGCCGGGGGTGTGTCGTGTTTTGTGTCCAGTGGTGACCCTCCGCTGTTATTTGCGTGCTGCGGCATCTGTGTCCGGGGCGCGTTTTGCGTTGATCCGGTTCTGTTCTTCCCGGTTCGCGGGTGGTGGTGTCCTGGGTTGTCAGCCGTGTTCTTGCGGCTAAGCTGCCTGTGTTCTTCCCCCATACCCGTGGCGTTCGTGGCTTCGCTGCTCTCGCTGCCGTCTGAGCGACGTGTCCTTGCGGTCATTCGGGCATGGATCTTTGGTGTTCGTACAGGGGCCTTGCTGCTCGTTGTTCTCGTGTTGTTCCCGGGACTTTTCGGGGCTGTGGCGCCTTGGGTTGGCGTTTGCTGCCGGTTGTCTCGCTTCCGTGGGGGGTGCGTGGTGTCCGCCTCCCGGTTCCGTCCCTTTGACCTTCCTCTGTGGGTAGTTAGCTCCGGGGAGCCAACGGGGCTCCCCCCAGAAAACCAGTGTTGAATGTAATGAAACGCCATTTTCTGGGTGAGACCCGGAGGCTCCCCGGCAACCCTCCCTCCAGTCGGTCGGCGGTTTTTCGCGTGTTTTGACATCCAGCCTCAGAACTGATGGGTGGATAGCCGGCGTGGGAGGTCTGGGGCTTCCCCTTCCCCCTCCCAGGGAGGGGCGAGCTACGCAGACAGCGGCGTGGTGACGTGTGACGTCATACTAGTTTGCTTGTTTTCTATTGGGGAGTTCTATCCACTAGTTCGGCTTTAGGTAGCAATTTTAACCAGAATAGAGGTTTGTTTAGAATGCTTACTTTTCTGGATGCTTGACCCGGTCGATGGCAGACATAGAATGCTTCCAACCACATGGGGGTTTCTATAGGCTATTGCTCCCCTTGCCTCTCTGAGGGGGCCAGGTTCTGGCCGTGGTCCCCGGTAGGCCCTAGAACTCCATACACATGAGTGATGCCAAAGTCTGACATTAGCATATCAGCCTGGTAAAAGCTCCGGGGAGTCTCCGGGTCTCACCCAGAAAATGGCGTTTCATTACATTCAACTCTGGTTTTTTAGAGGAGGAAAAAAGAGAGGTGTCAGCGAGTGAGGATGTTGAAGAGCCAGTAGCAGGAACCAGTGCCGCATCCGAGGACAGCAATTTGTCGGATTTGGATGACAAATTTGTCAAAAATCTATCAGAAACTGATAGGCAAATTTATGAGGATATCACAAAGAGATTAAATCAAATTGAATTGGAGGACGAGGCGACTGGGGAGGACGACGACGACGACGACGATGATGAAGGCAAAGAGTAAGTTTACCAAAATTATTTAGTTTTGGATAGATTAGATGGAAATTCCATTGATTTATTAAAGTTTTATATAATTGTTAGAATAGAGATGGGATCACTTTATTTTCTGGGGGGAGCCCCTTCGGCTCCTCGGAGCTTCTCCAGGTTGATGTTAGACTTTGGCATCAGTCATGTGTATGTAGTTCTATGGGCCTACCGGGGACCACGAGCCAGAACCTGGCCCCCTCAGAGAAGGAAGGGGAGCAATTGTCTATAGAAACCCCCGTGTGGTTGGAAGCATTCTATGTCTGCTATCAACTGGGTCAGGCATCCAGAAATGTAAGCATCCCAAAACAAACCCCTATTCTGGTGAAAATTGCTACCACAAGCCAAACAAGTGGATAGAACTCCCCCGAAAATAAACGAGCAATCAATCATGACGTCGCACGTTGCCGCGCCACTGTCTGCGCAGCTCCCCTCCTCCCCAGCAGGGGAAGGGGGAGTCCCAGACCTACCGCGCTGGCTATCCACCATAGTTCTTCGGCTGATGCTGAGGCTGAGGTTGTGTGCTCCGGCTCCGGTGGTTGTTTCAGCACTGTACCTAGAGTATGGTGACTGTCTTCTAGGTGGGGCGTGAGCCGGGAGTGATTTTTCAGTACTCGGGCTGCATGTGCCTAGGGTTTCCTTCCCTAGGTGCCCTGTAAGTACTGCCCTTGGAGCTTGAGGCCACCTTCCACAATGTAGAGTACATGAAGTGAATGTACATGCCACTATGCATAGTGGCATGTACATTCACTTCTTTTCCTACCATCCTCCTCCTGTTAAGAAAAGTGTCCTCGTCTCTCTCTTCCTCCGCGCTCTACGCATCAGCGACCCTCAGTTTCTTGATTCTGAAATTGCCTTTATCTACAAATCATTCTCTCGCCTTGGTTATCCTTTGCATTTCATCAACTGTGCCCACTCTCAAGCTAAACGAAATTTCTTTCATCCTAAACCTGCTTCCAACACTAGTAGCACTGTACTATGCCTTCCCTTCATATCTGAACTCAAAACTTTTACCAATACCTTTCGTCCTCTTGACATTAAACTCGCCTTTCGACAAACTAACACACTTCGTAGCAATCTAGTTCACACTGCTCCTCCTGCTTCTAATGCTGCTGGTGTCTACTCTATTTCCTGTTCATCTTGTCCTCTCCAATACTTTGGCGAAACTGGCCGTACACTGAATGACAGACTTAAAGAACACAAGAGAAGTGTTATGTCTGCAGACACTAACAATGCTCTCACCTTCCACAAGTTCCTTGGGTTCTGTTCTCATTACTACTATCCCCTACCCTGCTAGGCCTATTTACTGCTTGGTTTTCGGCCGCCCTTTGTGTGCTCGGGTGTTCTGTCTCCCTTGTTCGCCTTAGGGTAAGGGGCAGTTTGCACTGGTGGGGCGCAGGGTACTGCACAGCTTGTTTTCACCAATCATGGCGGCCGGCTCTGTTCCTCCTGGGTACGCTGTCCTCTTGCGGGGTTTTCTTTTTCTTTTTGTTTGTCTGCCTGGTGGGGGGTCTGCCTTCGTTCTTGCCCCCTGTGTCCCCTGTGTACCGAGTATTCTTCCTTCTTCCGGTGGTTCCCCCTGCTAGGTCCCCGTGAGTGTACACGTCCCAGGGGTTCAGTTCTTAGAAGGTTGTTTGGTAGACTTGGGCGCCGGTTAGCAGTACCCTGCCTGGGATTACCTGAGCGCGAGTCCTATTATAGTAAACGCTCAGGACCCTGGGAAACCCCTGGGGGCGTGCAGGTCCAATGGATGTGACCCCGGAGTTCCCCCCCTCGCTTCCAGCGAGTTTGAGGGTTGCTCTGTCCCCTTGTCTCCGGGTGACTCTCTCTGTCTTTGCCTCCGTCTGCTGCCTGTGGGGTCGGTGACACCTTCGGCCCAGAGTCCTGCGAGTTTTGTTGCTTGTTTGTGACTCGGTTACCCAGTCTTATGCTGACTATGTGGGTGCAGGCAGCACGGGCGTTGCACGTTGAGCTTCGATGGTGGCAACGCTCTCGGTTGTTTGCTCCCCGGAAGCCCCGAGGCTGCCCCGTTTTGGTTGGTGTTGGGGCTTGGGGGTGTTGGTTGCTTCGGTTCCTTCCATGCCCCCTTGTCTTTTCCCTGTTGTGGTCTAGTCTGGTCCCCCCCCCCTTCCTACCTGCATCCGGATCCTTACCGTCTGTGGGTTCGGGGTCGGGGCGGGGCTTCGTTGGTTTTGAGACTCGGGCGATCTCGGGGAATTCCCCTTCCAGGGTAGCGAAGGGGGCATTCGAGCCTGTTCCTCCAGCCGTGTTGTATGAGTCTGCCAGTGGGCTCCCTTCCTTAGTATTTTTGCGGCTGCCCCGGTTTTTTCTTGTGAGGCCGGGGCTTTGGGGGGACGGCTCGGCCCCGGGGCCTGCCGTGTGGGTTCCCGGGGCTGGGGAGGGGCTGACTTGGGGGGCCTAGGGCCCCGTTGGACCCCGGCAGGGTTTTTCTACCCTCTGGGCGGGGCTTGCGGTTACGCGGAGTGGGGTTTTCCTCCCCCTCTCCGTACGAGTTGTTGGGCGTCGGCCCCTCCCCGGGCTCGGTTCCTTGTCCCTTGAGTCAGTTGGTTCCGTCCTGTCGGTGGGTGCTCTTCTCCGTTATTCCCCCCTTTTTCTTGGGACGGGACTTCTCCGTCATGTTCCCCTCTTCTTGGGGTTCTGCATGACTTTTGGTCTCGGGTGCGACTGTGCCTTTATGTGCCTTCGTGACTTGTGCTTGCTTCTGTGTGTTCTCGAAGGTTCAGGAAGGTTTTTCGCTACTTCCTGTATTATTGGAACGTCTGTCGTCTTTCGGTGTGGCTTCCCTCCGGTCCTTTCTAGGGCTTGTTGGTCCTCTTCTGTGCTTATTCTTGGTTTTCGGTCCTGTCTCGTTCTTTTGTTGCTGTCTCTTCTCTCCGTGCTCTGTCTCAGCACTGCTCGTTTTCTTTACATACTCCTAGTCCGGGATGCCAGATTGGGCTACTTGTAGCCCAATTGGGTTCCCGATTAGGTTCATTGTATTCATTTCATAAGCCAGCTATTTATGTCGCTGCTTACTTCTTTTTTGGCTCCTGTTCCCATGAGCTGGGCTGTTCTTCTACTTAGCAGTTCACTCGGGTCACGAACTGTTTGGCTATTTTTCTTGTAAAGTAGTCCTAGTTGGCGCCTTCCCGCTGAGCGGGTTGTGCGGTTCGGACATTGTGTCCTGCGCATGCGCCGTGGGAGTTTGTTTTGGTCTGGGCGGTGTGCACCAGTGCTGGTGTTTTGCGTCCTTTTCTCTCGGGTGCTTCGCCTCTCACTCTTCTCCATTCTCCGGTCCGTGCCCTGTAGCTACTGGGGTGTTCTGGATTGCAGCTATGGGGAGGACGCCGGGGTTTTCCCTGTGTCATGGGTGTGGGGCACCTCCTTCGCCTCTACCCTGCTCTCCTGCATGTGCGGCTCTGGCCTTCTTTCCCTGGCGGTGCTCCCGGGATCTTCTCGGCTACGTTGTGTCATGACACATTCGTGCCTACGTTCGGCAGGTGAGTTTCTGCGGTCTGGCGTCTCTTTCGGCCAGGCGCTGGTTCGTGGTTTTTGGATACGAATATAAGACCGTCAGCACACAGGTGACTGCCGAGGGCCTGTTGGCCCATATGTGGCAGCTCCTATTTCTACCCGTCCAGTCCCACTCATATGCATGTCCAACCCATGCTTACGAGGTGCGATGGTTGAGGTGCAGGTTATGTACTCACCTACTCACCTGGTTGTGCTTGCGGGGATTGAGCTCTGACTCTTTGGTCCCGCCTCTCGGCCGTCAATCGCCTGGTGTGCAGGTTCCTGGGCCTGCTGGGCTCTATCATATCTACATTTGAAACTGTCTGGAGTCAGTCTCCACCACATCTCTGCCTAATGCACATGTGCATTAGTAACATGTACCACAGTAACATGTGGTACTTGTTACTGTGTCAGGATGTTGTGGGGTGACATTTTGCTGCAGTTTTGTGTCTGGGGATGCGTGTTGGGGATTGATTGTGGCGTTTTTGTGGTTTTATCTGGGGTACCTCATTCCTTTCCCGTCTTGGAGTGCCTGGCTTGGCCCTTCCATGTACTGTACATTGGTTTCTCTGTCCTCGACTAGTTGTCCGCCCCTGGTTGTGCTTCCTGGGGGTTGAGCTTTGGCTCTTTCGTCCTGTCTCTCCCCTTGTTGCTTCCCTGACATCTATTCGGCTCTCATGTCTGTACTTGCAGCTGTGTGTGGGGTCAGCCTCCACCACTTCCCTTCCTCATTCATTCCATTTGTTTACTACTCTGCCACTGGAATGTTTCTTTCTTGCGTTTCTTTGGCTCCTTTGGGCGCTCCTTCCGCCTGTGTCGCATGGTGCGTGTGCACTTGTGTTCATTAGTCTGTCTTCGTTGCTCGTACCCCTCGGTTCGGGTACTAGTCTGGTGGCAAACCTTTGCACCTTCTTCAGTTTGGTTTGTTGGGACAGGGCCTGCGACTCTGTGTTGTTGGTGTGACTTGTTGGGACATGGTCTGCAGCTCTGTGGGTTGGTCGTGTCCCTTTCATTCCCGATTTGCTGCATGCCTTCTTCGTTCCTCATCTTCCTGCTTCACTCTTGTCCCTGGCCGCTGGTGCTGGGGCTGTTCTTCTGGTCTTTTTCTCGTTTTCTCCTACACACTGTTGTGTGTTTTGTTTGTGCCTTTTGGCCCTCCTGTTGCCAGGTTTGGGTTCCTGTTTTCCTGGCTTGCCCTGCCTGTTGGCATTTTCAGGGTCTCGCGGTGTCCCTTCTCTGGAGTCTCGCGTCGGACCCGTAGTCTCCGATCTCCTGGCGAGCTCGCTCGCGTTGGGGAGTTTTCTGTTCGGCAGACGTTCCATCTCCTTCTTTGCCGGCTTGGGTTTCCGGCTCTGCTTGCTCGGTGGTCGCACCCGAGATCTTCCCATGGCTCCGCCTCTTCCTAGGCTCGAATGAACCTTGACGGGGCTGGTTGGGTTCTGCCTCGAGTGTCTCACCTTCGGTTGGTGGTCAGGTGGCTTCGTTGTTGGTGTCCCACCAGCGTACTACTTCTTGGCGGCAGTATGGTTTTTTTTAGCAGTCCTTCTTTTTCCTTCTGTCACTTCTTAGGTGGCTGTGTTTGTTGGTGTCGGCTTGTCTTTTTCTGGTGGAGGTTCGGGGCCGTCTTCTTGCCGCATACTGACGTCTCGTTTCGTGTGGCACTGACGGAGCTGCTTCAGCTTGCTTTCAGTCTTGGTGTTACTTCTGCGCCGTTTTGTAAGCTGTCTCGTGCGTTGTTTCACCTCTGGCCTGCTCATGTGTCGCCTGAGCCGTCCTGGTCTTTGGACTGCGTGCTCTTTCTTCTTCTCGGTTTGTTGCGGCCCCTCCGGTCCGGGTTTGTTTCTCGAAGGCTCTTTTTCCTGATGGCATTTGCCTCTAGGGGTCGGGTTGGTGAGCTTCCTACTCTCCTCTGACGCAGGGGTTTCTGCTCCTTCGGTCGTGGCGATAGGTTTGTTCGGTTGCAGCCGTCTCCCTCTTTTCTGGCACAGAATGAGGCTGCTGCTTTCCGGAGGGGTCCTTGGTTTGTTGGTGCTTGGTTGGTTAGGCCGGGGAAACATCGTGTTGTGTGTCCGGTTGTGGCCCTCCGCTGTTATTTGCGCGCCACGGCTACTATGTCCGGGGCGCGCTTTGGGTTGATCTGGTTCCCTTCTTCCCTGTTTGCGGGTGAGGGTCTCCCAAGTCATCTGCTGTGTTAAGGCTAGCCAGCCTGCGTTCTATCCCTGTGCCCATGATGTTCGTAGATTCACTGCTCTTGCTGCCGTCTTGGCGACATGTCCTGGCTGACATTCAGGCACGGGGCTTTTGGAGGGCGTACAGAGTCCTGGCTGCTCGATATCTCATGGTTGTTCCCGGGCCCATTCGGGCCTGTGTCGCCTTGGGTTGGCAGTTGCAGCCAGTTGTCTCGACTTTGAGTTGAGGAGTGTGCGGCGACCGCCTCCCGGGTATGTCCCTCTTATTTCCTCTGTGGGTAGTTAGCTCCGGGGAGCCGAAGGGGCTCCCCCCAGAAAACCAGCGTTGAATGTAAGGAAATGCCATTTTCTGGGTGAGACCCAGAGGCTTCCCAGCATCCCCTCCTTCCAGTCGGTGGTTTTTCGCGTTTTTTGACACCCAGCCTCAGAACTGATTGTGGATAGCCAGCGCGGTAGGTCTGGGGCTCCCCCTTCCCCCCTCCCAGGGTGGGTGGAGCTGCGCAGACAGCGGCGCGACGACGTGTGACGTCATGATCGTTTGCTCGTTTCTTTTAGGGGAGTTCTATCCACTTGTTCGGCTTGTGGTAGCAATTTTCACCAGAATAGGGGTTTGTTTTGGGATGCTTACCTTTCTGGGTGCCTGACCCGGTCGATGGCAGACATAGAATGCTTCCAACCACACGGGGGTTTCTATAGGCCATTGCTCCCCTTGCCTCTCTGAGGGGGCCAGGTTCTGGCTCGTGGTCCCCGGTAGGCCCATAGAACTCCATACACATGACTGATGCCAAAGTCTGACATTAGCATATCAGCCTGGATAAGCTCCGGGGAGCCTCCGGGTCTCACCCAGAAAATGGCGTTTCATTACATTCAATGCTGTTTTTTGAATTGAGAACTATGAGTGACGAGGGGGAGACGAGTGACGCAATGCTACCAGCAAAGAGAGCAAAATTTAAGCGGAGGGTTTCTTGGGCAGACGATGTGCGGACCCTTTACACGGTAATCCCAGATGATGACAGTGAAGATATTTGTCGCATTAAGTACACCAGCCAACCTCTAACCCTTCCTCTGGAGGACCCACTAACGGAGAGTGTTGGTAAAACTGAGGCTCCTACTGAAACTATTCAGAGTCCTTCAGATATTTATAAAGTCTTCAGTCACGGGGCCTCTGCACCGGAGCCGCCACCTCGTGGAATACTTAAAAAGTCCTCATCTCTTCCAATACAAGGTAAGGAACGTTTGAGTGCCTCGGGTGTTGGGAGGTATGCCTAGAACATCTGGAAGTATGTCTCACGTCAGGAACCATGTTCAATATGTCACGAACCATGTTCAGTATGTCTGGAGCTATGACCCATATGTCTGGAACCATGTCCCATATGTCTGGAACCATGTCCCATATGTCTGGAACCATGTCCCATATGTCTGGAACCCTGTCCCATATGTCTGGAACCCTGTCCAATATGTCTGGAACCATTCCCCATATGTCTGGAACCATGCCCCATATGTCTGGAACCATGTCCCATATGTCTGGAACCATGTCCCATATGTCTGGAACCATGTCCCATGTCTGGAACCATGTCCCATGTCTGGAACCATGTCCCATGTCTGGAACCCTGTCCTATATGTCTGGAACCATGTCCCATGTCTGGAACCATGTCCCATGTCTAGAACCATGTCCCATGTCTGGAACCCTGTCCCATATGTCTGGAACCATGTCCCATGTCTGGAACCATGTCCCATGTCTGGAACCATGTCCCATGTTTGGAACCATGTCCCATGTCTGGAACCATGTCCCATGTCTGGAACCATGTCCCATGTGTCTGGAACCATGTCCCATGTGTCTGGAACCGTGTCCCATATGTCTGGAACTGTGTCCCATATGCCTGGAACCATGTGGGACACGGTTCTTTTTGCTCTACGCAAGGTTTCTGTCCACTGAGCGGGCCTGATTCTGTCCACTGAGTGGGCCTGAGGACACCTGCGTCATCATTTGTCACAGGTACCACCCCAGTCAAACACACACACACACACACACACACACACACACACAACACACACACACACACACACACACACACACACACACACACACACACACACACACACAGGCAGGTAGGTGTAGCTGGTAAGGTGCTCCAGTGGATAAGGGAGTATCTAAGCAATAGGAAGCAGAGAGTTACGGTGAGGGGTGAGACCTCCGATTGCTGTGAAGTCACCAGTGGAGTCCCACAGGGCTCTGTACTCGGTCCTATCTTGTTTCTGATATATGTAAATGATCTCCCAGAGGGTATCGATTCATTTCTCTCAATGTTTGCGGACGATGCTAAAATTATGAGGAGTAAAACAGAAGAGGACTGTTTGAGGCTTCAAGATGACCTAGACAAGCTGAAGGAATGGTCGAACAAATGGTTGTTAGAGTTTAACCCAACCAAATGTAATGTAATGAAGATAGGTGTAGGGAGCAGGAGGCCAGATACAAGGTATCATCTGGGAGAGGAAATTCTTCAGGAGTCAGAGAAGGAAAAAGACTTGGGGGGTTGATATCACGCCAGACCTGTCTCCTGCAGCGCATATCAAGCGGATAACATCAGCGGCATATGCCAGGCTGGCCAACATACGAACGGCATTCAGAAACTTGTGTAAAGAATCATTCAGAACTTTGTATACCACATATGTCAGGCCAATCCTGGAGTATGCCGCCCCAGCATGGAGTCCATATCTAGTCAAGGATAAGACTAAACTGGAAAAGGTTCAAAGGTTTGCCACCAGACTAGTACCCGAGCTGAGAGGTATGAGCTACGAGGAGAGACTACGGGAATTAAACCTCACTTCGCTGGAAGACAGAAGAGTTAGGGGGGACATGATCACCACATTCAAGATTCTGAAGGGAATTGATAGGTAGATAAAGACAGTC